GCTCTTGATGAGTGTAACATCGAGATGAGCTTATTTCTTTAAAATATATATTATATATATGAATATATGAAAAATATATCAAAAATGCATGTGGGTACTCGAATGAAAGCTCTTGATGAGTGTAACATCAGGATGAGCTTATATCCTTAAAAACGTCAATATTTAAGAAAGTACAGTGCCATTTAACTAAAATCATTATTCAATAAAGCAAAATTTTATTTTCATCGGTCCTTGATAAGCATCCAAAGTTTTTTCTTTATCCGACTTTTTGTCGGCTGAAAATCGAGTTCAAAGATTCCGTTAGATAGATCCAAGCGAAGCCAATAAAAGTATGTTAAAAAAATATTACCAGACGTCTTATTAAAATGTAAGAGGTGTAGTACAATATTTGAATGTTTAAGTATGCGTTAAGCTTATCAGATTTTATTGATTTATTTTTCAGGATAACTCTCAATAAATTCCGATAATTTCAAACGAGACGTCATTACTTATTTAAACTTTACACTTACTCATTATCAGAAACATTAAAGTCGAATTTATAATTCACAAGAAAATTTTCTTGACATCTTATCGAAGAAAATTTTATGAATTATTATTGAACCATTAAAGAGAAACTTTTAATCCATAATACCTAAGAAAAAAAAAAAAATTAAAATTATGAAAAAATGTTTCATCATTCACAAGATTTTTATGGAAAAATGAATGAATAAAAAAATACTTTGCTCAATAAAAAGTGCCACATGCTTCAAAAATAATTTATCTATTTTTAACGGAAGACCTACTGAATAATTAAACCGAATGAATGGAATGTAAAATTTCAATTCACTCAGCAGAACTTAAAAATTAACAGCTCCGCTGGTGGAGATTGAACTCAGTTCTTGCATGAATGAATAAAAAAAGAAATTATACATATGTGACCTGCAATGAAACCACGTGGGTATGAATTGATGATTTATTTTAAAAGTTATAAATATTTAATAAAAATTTTAAACTTGCAGAGTGACACCCTGGCGCCATTGTTGAGTTTCAGATGTCTAGCTTGTATTAACATTCTTGGTTTTAGATCTTAATTCACATTAAATTTATTATAAGCTAGAGTTGTAAACAGCGTTAGCATAATCGCGTCAAGAAGTCATTTACTTCATGAGTAGCGCGTGCAAATCTTGTCATTCTTCATGGTCTTGTCTTATTTTCTGTAAGTATTTATATTGTGTAATATATTATATGTTATATTATGCATGTAGATCTGAATGCACACTTGTCTCTAGCTCGTAGACAAGAAACTTTATACAACAGTATTACAAATAAGTTAAGACATACACAAGCTCAGGGTGTATTTAACGGCTGGTTTCACCCCACGATCTCATAAATTAACTTTTGATCATCATATCCAACAGAAAATATTCAAGATAACAGAGTAAGGGGTGTTACTCTCTATCTCTCATCACGCCACTTTATAAATCTAAATATATTTTCATCCCTGTAATTTAATCAAATGGTTTGGTTTTATTAAAAGTGTATTTTTATTCTTAAAAAAATAAGAATAAAAATAATAATACTAACCTGGATTGTGATAATGATAACAATAATGGTGAATAATTCCCACCGTTATATATCAATAAACGAGGGTGTATTTGGTCGAATATTTGGATTACAATGGAATATATTGAAGTGAGTGAGCATTAGCGGAAATTTGCAACGGTTGTCATTTGTCTGGATCTCGATGTGAAAATAACAGAGAAATTATACTGTTTCTTCTCTGTCTTTCTTCTCAATTCTGATTTATATGTATACGATATACATGAACATACTTATATATAGTATCACTGAGTACTGTTGTTGTATGAATTCTATAATATCCATTTTGACAGTACGAAATGGCATCACAATGTAGGGTGTGAAAATACCCCTGGGTACATGTCCATCAACCGCCCGTCACACCAATTACTTATGATAATGTCGCAAAAGCTGACTTTGATTTAATGTTTAAATTTCATCAGATTTCTGATAATCGGAGGAACTCTTTTCAAAAACAGAACTGTCTATTTTTTGGTTTATAATTTTATATTTTTTGAGTGAAATTATTTGATTTTTTATGATGATCATGAAATTAGCAATCTTCTGATAGCTTATACAATTTTTGTGGAACTAATTTAGGTAATTACTTACTAGTGGGGTCAACCACATTTTGACATATGCTTGGCCATAGAATTTTTTTTTGAACAATTTTTTTTTTAAATTGTTCATTTTTTTTTTATCAAAAAAAGATAAAATATAAATTTGATCCTAAAACATGAATTTTTTCAAATTTTAAAGGCAAAAAAAGCTATCAAAATCTTTTTTTTTTCCTTTTACGACATTTTTTATCATAAATGCACCGTAAAAACAAGCAGAATTTCAAAATGTTAATTTTTCACGTTATGGCTTAAAATGGAGTTCTCACTTTTAAATAATTAGTTCCCAAATTTAAACAAAAATTTTACATGCAGAAATTGAAATAAAAACTATCACTGCTATTTTTTTTTTCTTATTTATTTTTTAAATAAAATCTTTAGAATTGAATGATTAAAATTTTTAAAGAATATGTTCTGAAAAATGCTATTAAAAAAGTTAATTAACATGGGAAGAATATTAAATAATGTATAGTAATGATTTTTGGATTTTTAACAGGTTATGGGTAGTCTAAATTATTAAAATTAAATTTTTTTAAAGTAACGACTTTAAAATAAAATCTTCATCTCAAATTTTCTATTATATTTGATTCATAATTTTACTTTTTTGTTTTTAATTTAAAAATACAAAAGAAGAAATAATTTAAAAAACAATTTTTTTGAAAAGTCTTTTGGTAATTTTTTAGTTTAACTAAGGTCTAGATTTTTTCCATAAAAAATTGAAAAATCAATACTTTTGAACATTTTTAAAAAATTATTCTATTTTTGATGAACTTTAAAAACAATAATATGTTTGTTAATCAAAAAAAAAAAAATTATAATTATCATTTTTATGGATTGAAGTATTGTGAAGTTTTATTTTTTTAAATCAATATTAATATTTGAATTTAAATTAAGAAATTGATAAATATTTTTGAAAACAAAACAATACCAATTTACCTGCATTTAATTTTTATGGAAATAGAAAAAAAAAGTCTTCGATATTTTAGTTAATTTTACTTTTCAAGTAACTAAAACTGAAACGCAACAATGAAGTAACTTTTGATAGATTATCTAAAATTACTTTCTCAATGGGCAAAAATAAATTTTATCTGCAGTAACTGAAATTGTTTTGATTAAAAATCTAAAATTCAAGAAGAAAAAATGATAATTAACAGTAAATAATAAAAAAAGACGAAAGGAGTAAAGAGTAGCAATAAATAAAGGTTTAAAAATATAAATAGAAAAGTTCTGAAAAGGATATAAGTGGTGTGTGGTTATTGAACAGTCGGTTGACTCCGGAATAAAATGAGAAACAGTTACATGTACGTTTGTCAAACCATTAAGGGTTTTATCCCCCTATCTATATCATTGCTCTTTTATTTTTATACAGCATTCCCTGTTGGTCGCGTCTCATTTTCAATCCACCCTTGGTCCATACATCCACTTCCACGGCAAAATCTCTCTCTCACTTTATTCTATTTCTCTGACTCGCTCTATCTTTAGCTTTAATTCAAGCTCTTTATACTTTTATTTTATATTATTCCTCGTTCTGATTTTCTGACTGACGAAAGAAAAAAATAATCTAATATAACGCGTCTCGCTTACCACCCCCTTTATGGACGTCAAAATATGACAGTTCTCTTGGGTCACCACTTTACGCTACAAGAAGCACATTGGGGTTCTGATTCGAGGGCGTTAACTTTGATTATCATTTTGACACAACTTTAATTTACGCTTAAATTTAAACCGTGACAATTAGACATTCATATCCATGCATTCTACCACATTTCAATAACTATTATAATAAATTAATAAATAAATAAATTAATATAATTACATGAGTACGTGCATTTTTATTGTTCTTATTAATAAATTATAAAAAAATTATTTTTTTAAGCTTTAATTTAAATTTCAAGCAGATCTGCTGACTGCAAATATCGGATATAGTAGTGACATCTCTTGTACAAGAATCGCGCTCTTCATTTTGACGCATTAAATTCCTAGTTTATTAATTGTAAGTAACAATGATAATTATTATTAATTTTTTTGACGATAAAAAATTAATTTTGCGGATCTATTTTGACTAATTTCATGTTAGGTTTCCTTAAATGATGATAATTTGGTAAAACCCTCACTAGAAATTCCAGCTGACCAACTTGGGGCTGCAAAAAAAAAAATTATAATTAATTAAATTACTGAATTACTAACAACCTTGCAGTCACGATGTGACTGCAATAAATTGTGAACTATAAATAAATAAATAAATAAATAAAATTTTGCTTTATTAAATAATGACTTTTGCTAAATTGCACTGTACTTTCTTAACTATTGACATTTTTAAAGATATAAGCTCATCCCGATGTTACACTCATTAAAACCTTTCATTTGAGTACCCACATGCATTTTGATATATTTTTCATATATACATATATATAATATATATAAATATATGAAAATTGATGTGGGTACATCAAATGAAAGGTCTTCGATTGAGTGTAATCATCGGGATGAGCTTATATCTTTATAAATGTCAATATTTCACAAGATAAAAGGTCATTTCTTAATTATGTTAAATTGCACTGTATTTTCTTAAATATTAACGTTTTTGAAGATATAAGCTGATTCTGATGTTACACACATCAAGAGCTTCCATTTGAGTACCTACATGCATTTTTAATATATTTTTCATATATACATATATATAATGTATATAAATATATGAAAAATTGATGTGGGTACTCAAATGAAAGGTCTCGATGAGTGTAACATCGGGATGAGCTTATATCTTTAAAAATGTCAATAGTTCACAAGATACAAGGTCATTTTTCAATTATGTATCCAGAGATAATTATTATAGATTGTTTATTAAAATAATTTATAAAACTTACGTAAGGTTTATCATTCATTTCACGTCTATGACAATCCGACCCATAAATAATAGTATTTTCAGGCACTATTTCAGTTTCAATCAGTGAACATGACGTTCCTACAACGCACCCACTGGTCAGCTCGACTTCTCTACAGACTTTTGCTGTAAGAAAATTAAATTTTTGAATAAAAATTTGTTTTTTTTTTTTTTTTTTTATAAAATAAAACTGAACTTACCTTTTGTTTCTAAGACATTATTATCGCCGACTTTAAGAGCTTCGCAGAGAGAATCCGTCTCGAATACATTGAAACTGCCAATAGTTAGCACGGGACACTCAACATCAGAGTCTGGAGGTAGTCTGGTTGAATCAATAGATAAAATCAGCTGATTACTTATAAAATTAATTTTCAAATAAAAATAAAAATACCTGTTTGCAATTGTAGCCATTTCTTCAATAATATTTCCCTCGCCGATGACAATCGGTCCGTCTTCTGCGAGAATACTTGCTCTAGGGTGGACTATTGTCCTGGGTCCAATAGTTATGTCACCTTTTAGGATACTTTCATCGCAAACTACTGCTCCAGCAGCTATTTTGACACTAAAATAATTAAATAATTAATTAATTAATTTGTGAAACTTTTTTTTTTTATAAAAAAAAATTTAACCTCATTGTAAAAAAATAAGTTAGATAATTTTTGTGTATTTATGAAGAGTTTTAATAATAAACTGCAGGTGACTCATTTAATTATACTCACTTAAGTCTTCGCATTGTTGAAGGCGTTGACATCGTTACTGTTGCGAAATAAATAAAAAATTTTTATTATTAAAATTCAACTGACAGATGCGATTGTTTTGAGTTTGTGAAAAACAAGTGCTGCCAGCGGGCACAGTCGGAATTATAAATGAAAATATAACCTAGAAAATAATAAGAGAAAAATTTTTTGTGAACTGTCAAAATATAAATAAATATTTTATTTATTATTCTTGATTGATTAATATTAAAAGTTTGTAATTTAAATTACAAAATGAATATTTTACCAAAGAAAAGGTATGACTTTTTTTTTATACTTATGGATATAATTTATAAGTTTGTGAAAAAAAAATTGTGTGTTGTAAATACAATAGTTTTTTTTAGAGTAAATAATTTTATGTAGTTATTTTAATTAATTTTTTGATAGTAAAAATAGAAATCTGATAAATTTAATTCTTTTTAAACAAATTCTTAATCTTTTCTTTAATAAATAAAAAAAAAAAATTTTTTTTTAAAACAACTTGAATTAAAATTAAAGATAATAAAAATAATTATGATATTGACATCAACAGATTTATAAGAATTTTTTTAATAATTTAATTTAACAACTAAATTATTTAAAAAAATTTAATTTATCCTTACAAGTGTAGAAATTTAGTAATTTATTTGCTTAAAAAATTGTCTAATGTATTAATTTCAGTGTTATAAAAAATGTTTAATCTTTTGTTAATAATATTAACCTTAATTAATATTTTTTAGATGGCACGTACGGACCAAAGAAAATATTGCCAGAGTTAGAAGAGATGAAGCTCAAGCAGCTGAAGAGGAAAAAGCGCGTCAAGCTCGTGCTCAAAAAGCTGTAAGTAAAAAAAATGATATTAAAGTCAGCTGTCATTTAAGAATTTTTTAATTTTATTTAATACAAAAATTATTTCTAAAAAGTTGTTTTTAAAAAATTGCATTTTTTATTTTTTAAAATTTCTCTGTCAATTTTTTTTGCACTAATTTATTTTTTAAAAAAATTATTAAATATCTGTTACTTTAATTTTTACAAAAAAAAAATGACAATAAAGTTAGCCGACATCTAAAAATTTTTAGAATTTTTTTTATTGAAAAAATTATTACAAAATGATTTTTAAAAAAATTTTACTTGCAAAAAATTTGAAAAACTGTAAGTGCAATTAAAAAAAAATATTTTTTAGCTTTACTTTAATAAATTACATAAAATCAAAAAATTAAAAATGTTGGTTAACTTTATTATTATAAAAAAAAATATTTTTTTATGACTATTAATTATTTAAGATCTTTAATAAAAACTTTGTTTTGTAAATTTTTAGGAAACTGAAGCGAGATTAAATTTATTGAGGCAGCAAGCGAGGTCGAAATACGACGGTAGAGCTGAAGAAGAAGAAAAAGTTGAAAAACCAGAAGAAAATGAGCACATTAATTTTTTCAAAGACTTGGAGGAGGGTAAAGTTGACCACCACAAGCCTAACGCTGAGCGCGAAGCTGAAAAAAAGGCCGAGAAAGAAAAGTACGAGAAGCAGATCGGGTATCTTACTTACTTGGGACAAAATACCAACGAGTCTACTGGCAACAAGAGTTGGTATGAAGATTTACCCGATCGATTAGCAGATCCGGATGATAAAGTCGAAGTTCAAGGGGAAAAGAAGGTCAGGTATGACCCTTTGGTCAACATGAAAAGATACCTTGCGACCATGGGCTCTGATTTAAAGCCTTCTATAGAGTCATCTGGTTCTAAAAAACGCAAATTGTCTACCGATGATGTGGATGTTGATGATGATGATGATAGTCGGTCGTTAAAGAAGCATAAAAAGTCGAAGAAATCAAAGAAGCATAAGCGCGAAAAAGAGGAAGAAAGAGGAAGTAATAGAGCTAAGCTGAATATTGAAAAACTAAGAGCGCAAAGATTGATGAGGGAGAGAGCGGAAAAATTAAGAGCCGAAGCGCTTCTGGCTAAGGTTAGAGGTGATCCTGAGCCAGTGGTTAAGGTCAAGGAGGAACCCAAGACTCCGAAGATAAAACAAAAATACAATTCGCAGTTTTGTCCTGAAATTGCCAGGCAAAATTTAGTTAATACTCCAAGGCGGTAATTATTTATAAAACGGGTGAAAATAATGAGACTGAAATTAGCTGACAATTGTTAATTTTTTTTTTATTTTTCTAACAAATCAATCAGAGTAAAAAAATGCTTAAAAAATTTCCACTAATAATTTTTTTTTTAATTTTTGAATGTGAAATTTTTTTCACAATAATTTCATTGCTATAAAATTATTAAAAAATTTCTAATGTCAGTTAATTTAAGTGTCATCTGAAATTGAAAATAAAGTTAGCCGAGTTTTTGAAAAAAAAAAATAAAAAAAAAAATTTTTTATTTGTAAAATACTTCAAAAACTATGGGTGCAATTTTTTAAAAATATTTTTATGAAAATAAAATTAGCAGACAGTTGACAATTTTCAGAATTTTTTTTATTAATAAAATTATCAAAAGAAAAAATTGCACATGTAAAAAATTTGAAAAACTATACGTGCAGTTTTTTAAAAATATTTTTGTATTATGATACTAAAGTTAACCAACATTTATAATTTTTTAATTTTTTTTTAATAATTAAATTAAAACAAAAAATTATTTTTAAAAAATTGCACTTACAGTTTTAAAAGTTTTTTACAAGTGACATTTTTTAAAAATTTTTTTGTAATAATAATAATAATAATAACAAAAAAATTTCATTCAAAAAAAAAAAATTAGCAATTTCCTTAAATTTAAAATGTAAAAATAATTCATAAGCCACTCCAATATTATACTTTAAAATCTCGAGCTTATAAATTTCCCATAACTCAAAAAGTTCTTTAGAACCTTAAATTTTCCACATTCTCCATTTACAATACCTCAACACACCTATTCTCCTCCATACCTACATAAATATACCTCTCTAAAGGTATTTACACAGAGATATCTACCTGAAGAAAGATAAAAATACAGTAAACTCACCTAAAGTTCCGCAGAGTAATCCCAGCACTATGCTCCCTATGACAACTCCCCGTGTCCCGGGACATTTCCAGGACGCCAGAATGTAAATATGTTTTTAAAAACAATTAATTATCTACCGCTTCCATAAAAGTGTAAAATAAATGTAAAATTATTTTTGTAATTATTTAAATAATCTGTAATTATGATAGTGTATTTTAAAAGTGTGTTCAATAAGTGGTTTGTTTGCCGGGAAAGATAACCTTTATCAGGTACGTAATTTTCCTATCTATGAAAATTAATTTAGCAGATGTTAAATAATTTTTAGAATTTTTTTTAACAAATAAATTATGGCAAAAAAAAATATTAAAATTAAGTTAGCCGACATCTAAAAACTTTCAGAAATTTTTTTATTGAATAATTATTAAAATAAGAAGAAAATAAAAAATTTCACTTGTAAAAAACTTAAAAAACTATCAGTGCAATTTTTTAAAAATATTTTTTAGCTTTTATTTAATTAATAAATTAAAAAATTGAAAATGTCGGCTAACTTTAGTACAGTAAAAAAATTGACATGTAGAAATTTAAATAAATAAAAAATGCAATTTTTTAAACATTATTTTTTGGAACAAATTTATTTGTTAAAAAAAATTAAAAAATTATCTAATGACTGCTAACTTTAATGTAATTTTCTATCTATATATATATATCTTTACATCAATTTTAAAATTAATATTTATCTTCTAGGATTTCAATAATAAAATAAAATTTCGCAATGATGTCAGAAGACATGTCAGACACTTCATACTTAACGTATGAAATAAATGGCTCGCAGTTTGTCTTTCAAACTCCGTCAAGCCTCGTCGAGGTCGGAGGCTTAGTAAATCCCACCACCAAGGACGTAAACGTGAATTTTATTTCTAAAAACCAACAAGTCGACCCGGATCCAACTTACAATCTCGAAGAAGAAAACATCCCGATAGTTTGCGTGGACGGAGTGATTTACGCTCTTCAAAATGGGCAGCTGCAGGAGCTGGACCTGTCGCGGTTGCAAACCAACGGCGAGGGTCAAGTATTCATGGTACCTGAGACAGAAAATTTGGTTGATTTAAAAGAGGACCCGGAGATAAATCTAGAGCGTTATTCTCTGCAAGAAGGGTTGAGTGTTGAAGCAGAAACTATTGAGGATTTTAAATTAGACCGAGATTGTGAGGAAGCGTTGAATGCAAATGACTTTGTGGAAGTGGTCGCTGCTTTCAAGTGCAAAATCTGCCCATTTACAACTCAGGACCGCGGACAGTTGCTAAAACACTTCCAGACTGTCCACGCAAATCCTGCTTCTGATTCTGATTCTAAGGTAAAGTACCCAGTAGTTGAACAGGTTTTGAAGTAAAACTTATTTGACCCTACTTTTAATACATAATCATGTAATTATTAGTTAAAATTAGTTAAAATAATTTTATATTATAATTGTTTTTATATAAAAATGAAGTTAGCCGACATCTCAAAATTTTTAGAAATTTTTTATTGAACAGATTTTGATTAAAAAATTTAAAAAAAAAATTGTCACATGTAAAAAACTTAAAAAACTATAAGTGCAATTTTTTAGAAATATCTTTTTAGTTGTAAATTAATTAATAAAAAAAAATCAAAAATTTTTAGACGTCTGCTAACTTCAGTGTCATGTTTTTATTTATTTATTTATTTAACAGTACATTGAACCCTACAGCAATGCCAATAAGCGGGTTTCATAAGGAAAAAAAAAAAATAACAATTATATTCTTATAATAAAGCTTATGTGTAGTAATAGTAGTAGTAAGACCATGTTTGGACTAAAAGTCAAACCTAGATTGTTAAATAATTAAATTAAATTAAATAGGATACACTGAATCAGTGAATATTTGACAAACATAGTTTCGCAAAAGAATCTATATTATTTATCACATAAATATAAATATCAATGCTGTTATCAATATTAAAGAACATGTTAAAGGCAAAACTAAGCGATACATAGGAGAAAATGTAAGGATAAAATTAAGTTAAGTTGATTAAGTTTTGATTTATAATTGAAAAAACTTACAGAAATCAATTACTGTATCATTTAATAAATATAATATGCTTATATTACTCATAATAAATTTACGGATTTTGTATAATAACAATTCGAAAAGTCTATTCAAATACTGGTCCCATTTTTATAAATCTTCAAATACTGGATACTTTACCTTAATTTTAATTCTAATCTGTTGAAGGTTGAAGACCCGGTCAAGTCTGATGAGGTTAAATTGGTGTACATGTGTGGAGCATGTTCAAATTGTTTTCCCTCTATGGAGGACTGTCGGGAGCACATGATCAAGGATCACCAGCTGACTGAAGGAGCAGGTGCTGTTGATGCTGATGAAGAGAAACAAGACATAAAAAGAGTTGAAGATCCGCCGGCTCAGAAAGATATCAAGAAAATTAATAATAAATTGGTTAGCAAGGTTAGCAAGTCCACGAATGATGAGTACGCTAGCAATAAAAAAAAATTAGAGACTAAAGAGCGTAATGTTAAGTGTAATTACCGAGGATGTATTCATAAATTCAGCAGCGAGGAACTTATGCAGAAGCACGTGCTCTGTCATGTTGATTCTCAGAATGCGAATGTTTTTAAATGCAACATTTGCACGGACTTGATGTTCACTAAATGGAGATCTTGCTGCATGCACCTCTGGAAGAAGCACAATGTAGACATTGATTTGCTCTGCTGCAGTGTCTGCCAAAGCTACAAGAGTGTCTCGAGTGTCAAGCTGCTGACACACATGCGAGTCCACAGCGAGAATAAAGATTACGAGTGTCCGGAATGCGGAAAGTGTTTCAAGCAGGCCAGCCAGCTCAGGAACCACCGGATCATGCACATGGACCGCAAGTCTGCTGATGCACCTAGGTGGTACACTTCTAAGACTTGCGAGATGTGCGGTAAGACTTATGCGGATTCAAAGTGCTTGAAGAATCATATTCAGGCGGTTCATTCTAAGCTCAGGCCGTATGTTTGCACGGTTTGTGGGCACTCAAGTGCGAGGAAAGCTATGCTCCAGATGCACCTGAGGCAGCATACGGGGGACAAGCCTTTTAATTGTGACAAATGCCCTTTTAAGACGGGAGATCATAATTCTTTGAGGAGGCATATTATGAGACACACTGGGGTCAGACCGTACAAGTGCCCGCATTGCTCGTATTCGGCTATTCAGAGCAGTGCTTATAAGAATCATCTGAGGGCTAAACATCCTAAGCTGTCAGGGGTTTTTACCTGTGAAATTTGCTCTTTTAAAACTGTCAAGAAGGAGAGCTATATGGAACATGTTGGGGATCATGAGAAGGGGTTGATTAAGACTACTAATCAGAAAAATGGTAATTTTATTTTTTATTTAATTAATGGTGGTAATTGCAAGACTGGATTTGTTGTAGAAAAATAGTTTTTATTGAATTAGTAATGTTTTTGGGTATTTTATTGAGTCTTTATTAGGAATTTAACAACGCACATAAAAATAAAATTAGAAAATTAATTTTTCGTAACAATTTTAATTAATTCATCAATTTGAATATTTTATTAATTATTATGCACGATTTTTATGATTCTAAAATGTAACAATCTTTTGATTTTTTCTCATTAATTAAATTAGAGTTAAAAAGATATTTTTTAAAAAATTTCACTTTTAGTTTTTTAAATCTTCTGTGGAATTTTTATTTCAATTTTTTTTTAATAATTTTAAACTAGAATTTAAAAAGTTCCACTTGTAATTTTTCAAATTTTATGTGGAATTTTTATTTATATTTTTTTAAGAAAAAAAAAAAAATAATAAATTGTTAGATGTTTGCTAATTTAATTTTCACCTCTTAAAAATTGTCGTGAACTATAAATAAATTAAATTTTGCATTAATAAGTAATGACGTTTATTAAATTGCACTTTACTTTCTTAAATATTGACGTTTTTAAAAATATAAGCTCATCCCGATGTTACACTTATCAAGAGCTTTCATTTGAGTACCCACATGCATTTTTGATATATTTTTCATATATACTATATAATATATATAAAATTGTCGTGAACTATAAATAAATTAAATTTTGCATTAATAAGTAATGACGTTTATTAAATTGCACTTTACTTTCTTAAATATTGACGTTTTTAAAAATATAAGCTCATCCCGATGTTACACTTATCAAGAGCTTTCATTTGAGTACCCACATGCATTTTTGATATATTTTTCATATATACATATATTTATAATATATATAAATATATGAAAAATTGATGTGGGTACTCAAATGAAAGGTGTTAATGAGTATAATGTCAGGGTGAGCTTATATCTTTAAAAATGTCAATAGTTCACAAGATAAGTCATTTCTTAATTATGTTAAATTACACTGTACTTTTTTAACTATTGACGTTTTTAAAGATATAAGCTCATCCCGATGTTACACTCGTTAAGAGCTTTCATTTGAGTACCCACATGCATTTTTTATATATTTTTCATATATACATATATATAATATATATAAATATATGAAAAATTGATGTGGGTACTCAAATGAAAGGTCTCGATAAGTGTAATGTCATAGTGAGCTTATATCTTAAAAAATGTCAATAGTTCACAAGATACAAGGTGATTTCTTAATTATGTATCTAGAGATAGAGCATTTTCGAATGCAGCCTAAATACTTATAATAAATTGACTATCTTGGACACAAAATTTTTCTTATTCTCTTAGTAATATAGATTACCTAATATTTATAATTAATTTTTATTTCAAGCCAATTATTTAAAAATATCAGAATTTAGTAATTGATAATTTGTTTTTCTAGTTTCAGATGCCAATAACGTTGAAGTGTTTCTCGGGAATATGGCTGCAGCCCACCTGATACTAGATGCATTTTCAAAAAAAGATAAAGAAATAGAAGCGACTTTAATGTCATCGTCGACGTCGGCTGATGGAACATCTCAGACGATAACGATACAAATACCGTCGACGCATTTGGGAAACTCGTTGCCGATCGGAGATAATGCTATCAAAAGTAACATTAGTATTAGCAGTAATGTTAATAATAATAATAATAATAACAATTCGACGATCGAGCAAGAAGATGATGAAACAATGCATTGTTTTCTGAAAATTCCACACGAAGAAGAAGAAAATATTGACACGGGTGGTATTACTATTCCAGCGGAACCTGAAGATATTGAACCAACGATTCTCAATGTTGAATCTTAAAGTGATATTAATTTTAATGTATAAATATTCATGTACACAATATTTTGTTTTAAATAATTAATTAAAAATTCACTGACGTTGTTGATTATTGATGTAACTAGTCAAGAACTTTCTTCAAGTCAGTGTTATATTTTCTTCTTTTTGTAAAAAAGGTTTAAACTAAAAATCATAGTTGATTTTGATAACTAGTTGATGACAACTGAAACAATTGTATGTTTTGGTGGTTTATTTATTTATAATATAATAAAACGATACAAGTTTACAATAAAAAGTTAAAATAATTGTTTATGGAAGCCGCTGAAAGTATCAATTAAAACGCATTGTTTTGTGGAATACTTACGTCGGTGTAAATAAAAAGCATGTTGTATTGTACAATTTTGAGGAGGTTGATAAATTTAATAGTTATCACTTAGATAACTTGGGATTATTTTTTTCGTTGATATATTAACACTGAGAATTATTTTTTAAGTATTGATATTTATTAACAGTCCTTGAGAAGATCTCCGAAATATGCAGTCAGAGCTACTAGTTTTCGATCTAGAAAATTTTGCTCAACTTCAACACCACCTCCAGGCCCTGCTAGAATCGCGAGCTGCAATTTATTTATCATTAATACAAATCAATAAAATTATTTCAAACATTTCAAAATACAGTTAGATTTTAAAAAATTTCTAATAAGAAAAAAGGTATTGAAAATAAAATAAAAATAAAAATTATTTTTTTAGAAACTAAAAAATGTATAAATAGACCTGAAAATTTTTCAGTTACTGTAATTTTGAAAAATTAAAAAAAAAAAAACATGAAATTGAAAGATACTTGAAAATTTGGTAAATATTTAAAACTAGGGTCAACGATTTTAATTTTTCATTTTTTTGAACGAAATTTCTATTTGATTTTATTGAAAAAATTTTTTTTTGAAAAATTCATAAAAAAATAAACAATTAAAAAAAAAATTTATTAATTTTTTAGAAAATTGTGATACTCAACATTTTTTTTTTTAATCGTTCGTTTTTTTATGCGCTTTTCCAAAAAAATATCTCAAAAAAAAAATAAAATAAAAATTTAATCCAAAAACACGAGAACCAAAATTTTTTCCAACTTTCAAAGATGATTTTTTAATTGAAATATTAATTATTTGATATTTTTGATGTCACCACCACAAATCCACCGTAATAACAAAGAAGTTAAAAAAAAAAATTATCCATCAATTCATCGATTTTTTATGGCTAAAAATAGATTTGACCCTACTTGTTAATAATCACCGAAAATTTTTTTATTTTTTTTTTTTTAAATAAACCAGGCCTAGATAAATGATTTTTAAAAAATTGCATTCATAATTTTCCAAAGTTTCTAAGGATGTAGTTTTTAAAATAAATTTTCGTAGGTATAATTTATTAATAAAATAATTTCTAAAATCATCTCTCAATTTCAGCATCATAAAAAATCTCCAAATTAAATAAATTGTTTATGAAAATAAATTTAGCAGGTACCTATTTGTTAAATTTTAAGAATTTTTGTAACAAATAAATTACAGCAAAATAAATTTTTTTTAAAAATTGAAATGTAGAAATTAAAAAAAATTAAGGAATTGTCAAGTGCTAACTTTAATATAATTAAACGACATTAAAGTTAGCTGTCACTAAAATTTTTTAATTTTATTTACCAAAAAAATTTATTCCAAAAAACAATTTTAAAAAAATTGGATTTTTCATTTTTAAAAATTTCTCAATGTCAATTTTTTTTGCCATAATTTGTTATAAAATTTTTAAAACTATTAAATATATACTTAATTAATTATTAAAATAATAAAAATAAATTACCTGTATGGTGTCAATATTCCGTGGTAAAAAGTAAGAAATATTATTCGTAATTAGTTGAGCCGTATTAAATAACTTCGCGCCCCCATGTGGACTCAAAATATTATCCAAATTAAAAGTATCATCATGTGCGTACTTAGGTCCTCCCCAAGGTGGACTCAAAAAAACCACATCGGCAATCAATTTACCCGCCAGTTTAAAAAAATCCCCCACAATAAACTCAATCCTATCCTGAACTCCATAAACCTTAGCATTATTCCTCGCTAACTCAATTTTCCCTTCATCAATATCAATAGCAATGACCCTCTCGCAAGTAAAAGCGAATTGAATGGCATTGCCACCGGCGCCGCAGAAGGCATCTACGATAGTATCACAGCGACAGCGCTCGGCAATGTGCATAGCAATTTTTTCCGGAGTCACCGAGAACCAGCTCTCGCGATCCAGCTTAATTCCCTGATCAAACCTACTGAACAAGCGGTACCTCTTGACCCAGTACTTCATCAGCTCTCTATCATTGTCCACCTCCACAGGAAGACTAACATTCCTCTTAGTCTGCTTCCTGCGTCTCTTCTTCAGCGACTTCTTAACACTGTCATCATCATTTTTGCTTACATCAACCTGCTCCTCATTCTTAACTACCAAATTCCCAGAAGACTTACCAACAATCACAAAGTCTTCTGCACCCTTCTCCACCATCTCCGTTTCAAACTGCCCAACCTCGCCTTCAAAAACATCATCAGTACTATCAAAAGTCCCCTGCAAGTCAGGCGGAGTTTCCATTGAACTGGTGCTCGGCTTGCTAAAAACCAGACGCTTGGCACACAGCTTGGAATTATTGATCCCACTCAAATTATCACACTCCTCATCCGAGCTCGAGGTAAACTGAACCTTAGTATAAGACCCCAGATCATTAGCCTGCAGTTCCGTATCCGCTGGAACAGTTATTGGACAGAAGGATAAATATTGCTTGACTTTATCAATAGTATTCGTTATTTCCAAACCATTGTCATCAAAATAAGTATGCTTGTTATTTTTCGCCCGATTTATCTTCATTTTTAATTGCCTATTCGGCAGTCTCACATGTTTTTTTTTATAAACAACCTCTCCTTGCAATTTTAACTGATTATTATCTTCATTAAATGTGTAACCCATAATAGAAAACGCCTTTTTTATCGTCTCTAATCCTTCCTCAGTCTCCTCTAGGTCCAAAGCATGAGACCGCTTCAGAGCAAGATGTTTATTTTCCTGAGACTTTTCTCCATCACTGTCATCATTCTTTCCAAATTTCTCAACATTAGCAGGCAGACTTTGACCGTCTCTCCCTTCATTCTTACCCTCCTGAGCTGTCTCAGGCTTAGAAGAAGACTCATCTTGAACTCCAGGATTGCTTCCGGAAGCAGTAACACTTAAATTTTGCATCAACGCTCCAACAGACTCAATAATTTTCCTCTTGGAATCAAACCGGCGCTTAGAAGCTGGTTTTCTGGTCCCTGATTTACTTTCATTTTTATTTAGATTTTTAACTGGAGTTTTTAATTCATTTGGTTCAATAATAATAATATCATCGTCCAGAAGAAGGTCCTTATCTTTTTCCTGATTTAACGGGTGATTATTATTATATTGAGGTTGTGTGAGTTGTTGAGCGTAATGGTAATTATGATTATCATGATTATCAGTCGTTGGTGAACTATTAATAGTAATACTATGTCTATATTTATTATAACGCAGTACAAAATTATCGTAGTGTTTTTCGTACATTGCTTGGAAGTTCATTTTCCACAAGTACTGCCAGTACTTATCATTATCACTCGAGGGCATCTCGTTATCCTGATCAAGGCTGCTGTTAGTGGTGACATTGCTCTCAATAGAACTAGTTACTGAGCTGACGAGACTCAAAGATCGCGCTGAGTTAGAATCATAACTCGACTCAGACAAGGTCATTTTTGTAACGTTGGTCATCGAGTCGGAAATTGTCGCGTATGTTTTAGCAATTGACCCATTTGTTGAATCGCAACGTGACATTGCGATAAGTCTCTCGTCTTCGGCGTTTGAAGCTTGGTAACTATCCTCGACGCTGTAAGGACTCAGAGGGTTCCAGCCGTCTCCAACAATCTCTCCTTCGTCGTAATTGCCCAATTTTTTGCGGTTCTCTTCAGCTTCTTTGTCATTGATTATTTCTTGGACGTCATTTTCAAAAGAAAAACTCACGCTGTTTCTACTTCTGCTTTCTGAGTCGCTGGATTTATTTTTTAAAAATATTCCCTCGAAATTAGAACGCTCGGTAGTGCAATTTTTGTGAGCTTGACTGGGAAAACAAGTGTTTTGTTCGCTGAATTTTTCAATAGAATCACGAGGAGATTTTTTGCTCTCAATAGCTGCTGGTGGGTCGATGTCAATGTCACACAAGTAATCTGGGTTAATGTAATCAGCGTACTTGGCGATCCAAGAGGCCCAAATTACACGCTCGCCGTTCTCAGCCCAGAATTTCTCCCAAGATACTTCCAAGACACTCTTTTCACCGTTGCCGTAGGTTACGATGTCAACGTTTAAATAAGAATCGTAGATCTCGGAATCGGCGTCACAAGAACCGTCGAACTCGCTGTAGTTCAGCCATTTATTGTTCAATTCACGAGGCTTTAAATTTACTACTAATTGGTTTAGAGTCTTGGCTACTTTGGGTTTGTCGGAGACTAAAGGGTGTAAGCCAGTGGTTATAGACTCGTATTGCTCGTGGTATTCTGATAAGTCAGCTCCAGAGTCGGATTGGTGGAGACCTAGTTTGTGAGAAAAATTTTGTGCTGTTGATCTTTGGACTGAGTCGCGTACTGAATCGTATTCATCTGTTGAGTAGTTGTTGTCTGTGTGCGATGCACTGCAATAACAGCTGACTGGTTCTTCCTGAAATTTACAAATTATTATTATTGATGTTGTTGTTGTTGTTGTTGTTGTTATTGTTATTATTGGTGTATTTTTGTAAAATTGTCAGGCTTTAAAAAATTTTCTGACAGTACAAAAACAACACCAAAAAATAAAATAATTAAAAATTAATAAATATTAGCAATCTTGCAGTCACTATGTGACTTGTGAACTATAAATAAATAAATAAAATTTTTCTTTATTAAATTGCACTGTACTTTTTTAACTATTGACGTTTTTAAAGATATAAGCTCATCCTGATGTTACACTCATCAAGAGCTTTCATTTGAGTACCCACATGCATTTTGATATATATTTCATACATACATATATATATACATATATAATATATGTATAAATATATGAAAAATTGATGTGGGTACTCAAATGAAAGGTCTTGATGAGTGTAACATCGGGATGAGCTTATATCTTTAAAAATATCAATAGTTCATAAGATATTTGTTAAATTGCACAGTGCTATCTCAACTATTGACATTTTTAAAGATATAAGCTCATCCCGATGTTACACTCATTAAGAGCTTTCATTTGAGTACCCACATGCATTTTTGATATATTTTTCATACATACATATATATAATATATATATAAATATATGAAAAATTGATGTGGGTACTCAAATGAAAGGTCTTAATGAGTATAATGTCAGGGTGAGCTTATATCTTTAAAAATGTCAATAGTTCACAAGATACAAGGTCATTTCTTAATTATGTATCTAGCGATAGAGCATTTTCAAATGCAGCCTAAATACTTATCATAATAAATTGATTATCGGTTAGAATGATATGAAACTTTGAAAAGGTACATCATATTTTATCATATGACTAATTATTTCTCAATCTTAATTAAAAATTCTTTCAAATAATATAAAATAAAAATCAATCATACATCATGTTTTTCAGTAATTTGTGCCTCGACTAGATTCTGCTTGTGAATATCCAGCATTTCTGGCAGACAATCATTCTCATTTTGGTTATCTTCTCCAGGATCATCGTCTTGAATCACTGTATAAACCTCAGGGTTTCTGAAAATAAATTAAATTAATTAGTGTACTGAAAGATAATTATCAAAAAAAAAAAAATAAATAACTCCAATTAAAATCAATAAATAGAGTGATTATATTAAACAATGAATTTGACATGTCTGATAAATAATAAAAAAAACAATTATTATTCTTAATGATTATATAAATGACCCTTGACATTTTTAACTTGTTACTGGAGTCACGAGCCCATATAATAATAGTTGAACTTAATCATGTGTTCACACAACTAATCGATACCGCATCAAAAATAAACCACTGCTTTCAGTCGATATCCGTTAAGTAAAAAGGTTTTTGTTAAAAATAAATAAATAATTAAATAAAAAAAATAAAAAAAACCAATTTATAATAATTACCTGATAAATACGCGACTGCAAAGACAGTATGTGTAGTCGTCTTGATTTAAAAATTGTGATTTTTCAGCAATATAAACTTCTGCAAGCGGTTCCCAGTATGGCTCACACATGTTATTGAAGTCCAAATAAAAGCTCTGATTTAGCACACACTGTAACAATTTTTATGAAAGTTAATGTAGCACATATTTAATAATTTTAAAAATTTTACAACAAATAAATTATGGCAAAAAAAAAATTGACATTTAGAAATTAAAAAAAATAAAAAATGCAATTTTTTAAAAATAATTTTTTGGAAAAAATCTTTTTGTTAAATAAAGTTAAAAAATTGTCAAGTGATAGCTAACTTTATATAATGTCATACAATTTTTAATGAAATTTTTTCACTGGAGGGTTAAATAGCCATCATGATCAGGAAGAGTGTCATCAACTGATTACAGGAACTAACGTAGAAATTTTGAAAACACTTAACAACTAATACTGATGATACTGATGAGTGAAGGAAGGACATGAAAGATGGAACGATGTATGTATTGATATGTGCTATAATACTGTACTCTGTGCTGAACTGATATTCTGGAGCTTTATTATGGTTGCTTTGTCGAGTTGCATTCGATGTATCGATATATGTATTTTATTTTATGCGTCGATACTGCAGCGCGATAGGTTAGTTCTTCTTCCTTCTTCTTATTATTATTTTTATTATTATTATTATTTCTTTCTCATGAACTCGGTTGATAATTCCGGTCTCTTATTTTTATTTTCGAATAAATTTATAATAATAATAATAAAGTTAGCCGACACTTTTGATTTTTTTATTTTGGTTAATTTATTAAATTAAAACTAAAAAAATATTTTTTAAAAATTGCACTTATAGTTTTTCAAGTTTTTAACAAGTGAATTTTTTTTCTTTATTTTTTTGTAATCATTTTTTCGATAAAAAAAAATTCTAAAAATTTTTAAATGTCGGCTAACTTAATTTTCATATAAATTTTGAAATAAACCGCGAGTTTCAGCGCCTCTATCGGATAAAAAAATTTTTAATTTGTGGTCAGCTGACATTTGACGATGAAAATGCAGGAGAAAATTAAAGGAGGTAAAGTATTTGATGTTTTTATAATATTATAAATAAAAAATGCTTTTAACTTATTATTGAGTAATTTGTAAGTATCAGAGACAATAAATTTATTAAAAAAATTTTTTTTTTTTGATAATTTGTTGCAAAAAAGGTTTTGAAAAAAACTCAAAAAAATTTTAATTTATCTTTATGTATTTTAATAATTATTAAGATGTATATAGTGATTGTTCACTTATATACAAATTGTAATGACTTAATTAAGCAAAAAAATTGACGGGGAAATTTTAAAAAATAAAAAATGCAATTTTTAAAAATAATTTTTTGGAAAAATCTATTTGTTAAAAAAAATTAAAAAAATGATTAAGTGACTGCTAACTTTAATATAATGAAAATTTATGAGCAGATACGTGAAATTTTTTTTTCTTTTCATTTTTACTATAAATCAATTATTAAAAATTTTTTTTTTTTTAATTTGTACTTAAAATTCTTTTAATTTTTTAGATGTGGAATTTTATTTTACTTTTTTAATAATTAATTCAGTTGCCAAAAAAATTTTTACAATTGACAGATGTCTTTTAAGAAAATTTGTAAAGAAAAAAAATACTTCTAGGGATAAATTATTTTATGACAGTAAAATTAGCAATCATTAGAGAATTTGTTAATTTTTTTAACAAACAAATTGGTTCTAAAAAATAATTAAAAAAAATTGCATTTAAAAATTTTTGCATGCCAATTTTTTTTGCCATAATTTATTAGTTCAAAAAAAAATTCTAAAAATTATTTAATATCTGCTAAATTTATTTTCTAAATAAAAACTTACCTATTGTTTATAAATTAATTATTTGTTGGTAGTATAGATAATTTATTTTTTATTTATCATCTTGTAATAAAAATAATTCCATTGAGTATTTTAAATGTACAGAATTTTTCTTAACCAACATAAAAACAATTTTTTACTACAAGATGGCGACACAAGTCTCACTGAGCGGGTCACGAACTTGAAACTGTACATGCCTGGTGATGGTGAGTATCATAAAACTTGCAATTTGATCTTTATTACCTCAAAGTGTATGTCTTTCTAGATTAAACCGAAAGCCAGGTGTCAATTTACGATGAAAATAGATCGGGGAATATTAATCCAGGAAGTTGATCGCACTTTTGTGAATTCATCAAATTAAAATACGACCCCGAGTAAATTAAACCCGGTACGCGCCAAAATAACTTATTTTAATTACTGTCCTTAATTATTAATAATATTACTTACAATTTATTATTTATTACCGTTGTACAGATAAATAGGTTTGGTATTGCTAGTAATTCCGAGAAGTTATTGTTATTACTACTGCCGTTTGAAACGAGGCCAGAGATGTGTGATCGTATAAGGCCTGATTAAGGAGCTCTGTCTCCGGTAAGTGCGCTTGCACTTTTATTATTAATTTTGTAAGTAACTATTGAAAAAAATTGTTTTTTTTCGCTTAAAAAAATAATTTTCGACATCCGTGATTATAATAATAATAATAATAATAATAATAATAATAATAATAATAATAATAATAGTAGCGCGAATGTAAATAAAAATGTCAGATGCGGATCCAATTTATCTAAATTCGAGGTCGTACGCCTACGCTTTACATCAATTTTTAAAAAACTAAAAACAAATTTTAATAATAGTAATTTTAATAACAACAATAATAATTTTTAAACACACCTACGAGTAAAAATAAAAATTAACTAAAATAAATAAATTAAAAAAAGATTTTGGCTGCAATAAAGTAATTCTGAGAAAAAGCAAGAAAACTTTTGGCATAATTTCCAAAGTTCATGATCTGTAATGCGATATCTCAAGTTCTCAGTAATTATTAACTTAATTTTAACTGTACTATTAAATTTTATTATTATTTTTCTTCTATTATTATTTTATCTACTTGATATTTTTTTATATTTGTATTTATAATTCAACTTTATAAATGATATAAATTTTCGGAGTTAAAATGATTAATATCTTTTTGAGAAAGAGAATTATTTACTAACAAAAGACGAGGAGGGATTATTGACCTCCGGCGTGAGAATGATCAAGTGATTAGTATTTATAAAATTGTCATATTCTATTCACTGAAAAAAAAAAAGTAAAAAGTATTTTTTGGAATAGAAGTCTTTCGCCTTTTAGGATTCTATTGAGTATGAGAAGAGCGAAGCATTAAATGAAAAATTTAGGGATAGGAGTAGAGATGAGAGAAATACATCCAACACAGGTGTATGTCAGTATAGTAATTTAAGATCTCATCCCTATTATATATTAAACACGATTTGGTGAAAGTCTGGCCTTATATTTAATACCAACACCAATTGGCGCCCTGGGGTCAACGAGGCCGTCTTATTGTTGTGTTGCTTTTCGAGGGGATTCAGGCACTTGTCTAGTAACCACTTGTCTAGCTTATGAAAGGATACGCTTTATAATTATTTTAGATCCTTTTTACTTCGATTAATATTCAATTTTTAGAAAGAGAAGAGTTCACTGTCATTAATCAAAATTAGGTTTATTTTTTTCAGAAATTAGTTTGTTTTTTTAATTTTTATGGGAATTAATTTTTAGTTGTTTTTTTTAATTTTAGGAATTAATTTTCATTTTTTTTTTTAAATTTTTAAGGGAATTAATTTTTAGTTTTTTTTTTAATTTTAGGAATTAATTTTTAGAACTGCCAAAAATATCAATTTTAATTTTTTTTTTATTTATTCAAAAAATTTTGAGTAAATTTTTAGTAAATTTACAATAATTTTTTTTTTTAAGTAGACAGTTCAATTGAAATTTTTTTTATTAATGTTAATTTTTATTTATATCAATTTAAAATACTAAATTGATGAATATTTTGTAATACAAGATAATATTAATTTTTTAACAATTTTATCTTCATAGAAAATTGTAAAAAAATATCGTAGCCGATAATTTTTTGTTAACTTCAAATGAATCATCGTCTCCTATGCTTCATTTTATTTCATTTAACTTTTTATTATTGTAAAAAAGTAAATTTCAATAGATAACAAAAAGACGAGTACAATAAAATTTATCACAGTGAGTCACAACAATTGTTTCGACGCATAAAAAAAATAGTAAACAAATTTTCTCGTAAACAAGTTTTATAAAATAAAAAAAAACTAACCATGTATCATTAGTTGTTATAATCAAGCTAGTAATTGGAATTAAACTGAAGAAAATTATACCAATTAAATGGTTAATTTCAATCGACTAAATTTATTGGAAAAATTATCTAACAATAAAAAAATAACTTTTGAAAAATATCAGTCTTTATTCGGATGAATAAAGCATTACTTGCAATTTACTATTTTGATTTTCATGGCATGTCTATTCTTGACATTTACATTATCGACGTCTTACATAATTAACTATCTAATATTTTTTTCACTTAAGATTTTATCCGTTGAATAAACAGGGCTGTGACGAAGGAAAAATATCGTTAAGGTTTTTATGCCAGCCCGGTTGCTTTTACGCTTGAATGAAAATTCGGTGACCCTCGGATTTCTTTTTATTCCTTTGTCCAGCTCTGCTGGAAATTCCAAACAAGGCTAGCTCCTCGTTCCTTCAAATAGTTAAATTAAATAAATATCATAAATAAGAATATGAAGTAGGCAAACGATAATTCAAAACCAAACAATGTCCGAAAATTTCTCTTAAAGAATCGATTTAGATAAAAACTTGCATTCTTTAAATTTGTCTCGATAACTAATACTAATACTAATACTTGACTACAAAAAATACAAACCGGCTTGTAGTATTCTGCTGCTGATGATTCATTCAAAATAAGTAATGAGTAGAACTGATATACCGGTCTATTACTCGGAAAATTGGAAAGACATCTTTACTATTTGATTATGATATATTGAAAAAAAAATTACTGCAATAAAAATGTTTTATAAAAAATTTACTTTTGTTACAGGATATTTCGTTGGAGTTGGTTTAAGAAATTTATTCATATATTCATTTATTGGAAAAAAAAAAAAAAACAATATATTCCACACCACAATTTCTATCTTCAGGATTAAGATACAAGGTAATATTTATTAAAAATGAAAATTAAGTTAGCCGACATCTAAAAATTTTTATAATTTTTTTTTATCAAAAAAATTATCAAAAAGGAATAAGAAAAAAAATTTCATTTGTAGAAAACTTAAAAAACTTCAAGTGCAATTTTTAAAAAATATCATTTTATCGCTATAAATTATTTTAAAATATGTTTTAAAATGGGTTCAAGTAAAAAAATTTATTTT